TTACCTAGTCCTTCTGTAAATGTCTTGAAAATCAAATTTTTATCATTTTTGGGAGAAACAAATATAAATTGAGCTTGTTTGGACCTATTTCCAAGTATCTTTTACAATGGGACAGTATGAAGATGTTATGCTATCAACATTAGCAGTTTGCCATGGTTAATTTCCCAGTATTTCCCAGTTTCTTACACAATAGATAAAAAGTTAGCAGCAGCTCTTACTGACTGGCTGCAGGTGAGCCCCTGATTGTTGGAATGGAGACAGGAGATGGCAAGACAGGCTTATGTTAGCATTCTTTGGCTAATCCAGGGAGTAAGACCAAAATTGTGCTCTGTGGAGAGTGTGTGTTCCTGAAGGCTTTTCTTGTTTGAACAAACAGCCTACAAAAAAACCCAAAAAGGTTTTAACTGAGGCTCAACAGAAACACACATTTTTTATATTAAAAAGTCATATTTCTCGGTTATGACTTCTTTGAAATAGTTAAACAGTATTCAAATATCTGTAATAAACTAGGTTTCAATTCAATTGAATTTAATTATATAGCGCCAATTCACAACACATGTCATCTCAAGGCACTTTCCAGTTCACCAGATCATACAGTCAAATCAATTCAAAGTTTTCTATCTAAGGAAAACCAGTTGATTGCATCGACTCATTGACTCAAATGCAATCCCTCACACCAAGCATGCTTGTAGCGACAGCGGAGAGGAAAAACTCCCTTTTAACAGGAAGAAACCTCCAGCAGAACCAGGCTCAGTGTGAGTGGCCATCTGCCGAGGCCGACTGGGGTTCAAGGAGCCAGAAGCAGAGATACAAAAAGCAGCTGTAAAAGGCGGCCCCGTCCAGGAAACACACAGCCATGCAGACGAACTCCAACCAACTCCCATGTCAAAGGATGTAGAGAGCACTTTCAGCCAGTCACAGTCAGAGAAACAGGACTACACTTGAAAACAGGCCGGTCTGCAACATCTATAAACAAGGGTTTGAAGGGTGTTGTTAGGTTATCATGTGTGATGTAAAGGATTCCATTTGCTATTTAGAGCCTGCTTAAATGTGAAATGCACAAAAATACTGGTATGCATATAAAAAATATGTGAATTTTTGTTCATGGTATGTTGAGTTACTTGCAAAAGACAAGAAAAGAATTTCAAATAGGTCCAACATATCTTATACAAATGTTTCTTCTGTCACTTGAAAATATCGAGGGAAATATTTGAAATGTTTACTAAAGTCAGGTTTTTGCTTGACATGGACAGGTCAACTTGGCAAACCATGGTGGATGAGTGACAGCTGCTACCGGTTAGGGTTTGCATACATAAACATCTAGAGCTGTAGTTCCCAAACCCTGGTACTTAAGTACTGCCCTGTCTGTTTTAAGCCAGTGTTAAGACATACTGCCTTGCATGTTTTTAGCTGCTCCTCTGCTTCAACGCACCTGATCCAGATGACTGTAGCTTAACAAAGCCTGTTAATTTGCTATCGATTGATATCACGTGTGTGAAGCCTGGGAAACATCTAAAACATACAGGGCAGTGTGCCTGGAGGACCAGGGTTGAAAAACACTGTGACGTCTCTTTGTTGCAGCAAACCTGATTCAAATTAGATACACTACTCAGCAACCATCAGTGCTGCAGATGGCTGATTCATTTAAGTCAGGTATGTGGTAGCAAAGAGTAATCTAAAACATGCAGGGCAGTGATACATGAGGAACAGGATGGAGAATCACGCATCTAGAGACACCTTAGGATTTGGCACATAAATATCACTACGATCAACACATTTAGAAAAACTCTTGAAGAGAAATGACTGTCAGTCTTAAATGACACAAAGAGGATTTAAAGGACTTAAAATGTTGGAAACAGCTGTGTTTTTTACTTCTGCATGTGATGTTGTAAGCTTGGAGCCGGTACAATACTATCCCTCCAGGAGCCGAGCAGAATATCAGATTCACGTGTAAAATCCACAAAGATTTTAAAAGCTGTAGACGCTGTGTTCCTGTATGTGTATTAAGCATAACTCAGGCTTTAGTCAGTTAACTATGTATAATGTATTTACTGAATTTTTGTGTTCACTGGCTACATATTGTATATGTCATAATACGTAATACTACTGGCATGCTTATCCAGTTTGTAGGGTCAGCAGTTTACAGGCAGACATTATGTAAAAAACAAAAAACGTATTGAGTAGATATACTGTTGCTGCATTCTCCATTTGAGAGTTACACAAGGTTTTTATGGCACAACATTTAACCATTTTAGTTGATTTACCATATTACATTGGAAACTAGAAACATTAATGTATTTATGAGGGAAGTACAGTATGTTCTTGGATCGAATAAATGAAAATCAAATTAGGCACCTCAGAGAGTTTGTGAGGTACATTGATATGCTTCAAAAGATATCCTAAAAAACATTAATACTCTTAAAAAGTAGGGTCCATTTGTATTGCATAGCATGTTTGCATGTCTCAGAATTCTACAACCCAAAGAGCCATTTTCCAATAACAGTTTCTACGTTTTCAAATACAAAGTGTGAGCAATTTGCTCCATATCCAAGTTGTTTTGATGGATATACTTAGAGAAGAATTATCTAAATACATGCATATCTATGACAATTCTCCATTAATGTGATGTAGATTAGGTTGAAAAGTCTTTGAAATGATATATTTGCCAAAGTCAAGGTAACTGTATACATTGTTTTGTGCAAGTATTTAGCCCACTTGAATTTTTTTTACCTTTCGCCATATTTCAGGCTTCAAACATAAAGATAGAACATTTTAATCCTTGTTGAAAATTAACAAATGGGACATAATCATGAAGTGGAACGAAACTTCCACTGAAGAGTGGTGCTGAATAGTATTTTTGAGGTCTGTTTAAAGCACGGAGAGCATCATGAGGAAGAAGGAACACACAAGGCATGTCCGAGATACTGTTGCTGAAAAGATTAGAGTCGCACTGGATACAAAAAGGTTTCTCAAGCTATAAACGTCCCAAGGAGCACAGTGCAAGCGATAATATTGAAATGGAAGGAGCATAAGATCACTGCCAATCCGGATCGTCACTCTAAACTTTTAGATCAAGCAGGAAGAAGACCTGATCACAGATGTAGCCAAGAGGCCAATGATGCCTCTCGATGAACTGCAGAGATTTACAGCTGAGGTGGGAGACACTGTCCATAGGAGAACAATCCGTTGTATACTGCACAAATCTGACCTTTATGGAAGAAAGCCATTTCTTTGAGATATAAGTAAAAAGTCTTGTTTAAAGTTAGCTACGAGACACCTGGGAGACACAATAAACATGGAAGAAGGTCCTCTGGTGAGATGAAACCAAAATCAAAGTTATTGGCAACAATATAAAATGTTATGTTTGGTGTAAAAGCAACACAGCTCATCATCCTAAACGCCCAACCCCCACTGTCAAACATGGTGGTGGCAGCATCATGGATTACATAAAATTTTCCAAATTTCGACTCCTGATCTCACCAGCACTCTGTCATGGCTAACTTCCTTCACAACATCAGCTTGAATATAATTTAACATGTCACCTGTTTTCTGAATGAGCAGTTAGAAAAAAATTAACTCACAGCAGAGGCAAACATACACATGATTAAGTTAATGCATAAAATGCTGATTTTATTGAATATATGTGTGATTGCACAATAAAACTGTTTATCTTTTGTATGAAAGAGACACTTGAAACAAATGTTTGATTGCACATGCAGTAGAATGTTGCTGAATGCAACTTACACAGTGGCAGAGATGAAGATGAATGAAGACTGGGCGGAGCTCTGCTGCTGCTGTATTAGAATGCATTGCTTGGGAGAGAGGCAGGAAAGAGAGAGAATGGGGATGCAGTATGAAGAAATGTAGAGGAGAAGGATGAAAACAGGTGAAATGGAAGAAAGAGAGAGAGGGAGAGATGGAGGAAACGAGAATGAGTCAGGAGCGACAATTAAACCAAATGGGCTAGAGCCTTTGCTCCCCCCACCCCACCCACTACCCCACTGCACACAAATATACATGCAGACAGACCCACACAGACACACACGCGCACACATCCTCACGCAGCATGCCAAAGGGAGCTATGGTACATGCACCCTTTCGGAGATAGGTAGAAGGAGATCAGTTGAGGTCTGGGACTGGTGTGTGTCAGCGATGTATTAGCGACATGCTGGTGGTGGCGTATGCCCTGCCTGTGAAGGTGCAATGTTAGCGAGAGCGGAGGGGGCTGTTTTTGCCTCGATGCACAGCTAGAATGCACATAGTGGACTTGTGGCATGTGAGTGTGAGCGAGCCGCCAAAACGGAGGGGAGCCACGGAGAACAGCTGCAACAGCATTGCTAGAGTGTGTGTGAGTGTGTGTGAGCGTATGTGTGAGGGGTGGAGGGGAGAGGAGAGGCAGACACGGCGGGACTCCGGGGAGAGGGAGTTGGGGAGCAGATCTAACCTCTCTCCTCCACAGCAGGAGAACCTGGACCCAAGGACAAGCCAGGATCTGTAGCCCAACCTGGAGCATCTGGAGAGGGGGCACACAGGAGATGTCTATCTTTTGAATGGACTTCTATTGGAACCTAAACTCAGGATGTGCTTAACTTAAAGGGGCTGCCAGTTGGACCTGATAAATCCATGCAGGAAAGAAAACAGGGATATTTCTCTTTCTGGTACATATTTCCTCTCCTACCTCGAATAGGATGTGAGAGAGAGGGGACACCTAAGAGAGACAGGGGTAAGAGAGAGCAAGAATATTGTTTCTTCTACTGAAGAAGGAAGAGGGAGAGGAAAAGAGTGTCTGGGAGGAGAATACAATCCTCTCATGACTCTCCTGTGGAACAGTGACTGTTGTTTGCCAGGTACTTAGGCATGTCTATGAATCCCTCCCTGGGAACATCAACAACCAGGGGTTGTCACCAGGTCGCTGTCCCATTGACAACCATGTCAGTGACAACCGGCTTCAGTTACCAGCTCCCTGGAATCACCACAGTAACATATGTGTTTGTTTACAGCCCTGGCTCAGTGCAGCGAGACCCAAGCCCACCACATCACACCCCTCCTGCACTGACAGGCCCTCGTGGGCCCAAACGGAAACTCTACAGTGCTGTCCCAGGACGTACCTTCATTGTGGTCAAACCCTACTCCCCACAGGGGGAGGGAGAGATCCAGCTCAACCGTGGAGAACGAGTCAAAGGTAAGTAGTCAATTGTGATGTTTTGCTTAATTATTCATTACTTAATCTACTTTAGCTGATTCATTATTATGGTAATGAATACTTTATATACTGAAGTAAGGTTCCTGTTTCTACTTTTATGGTGCCTGCTGGTGGTCTGCTTCCCCCAGAAAATTCTGTGACAATATGTGGCTTACAGTACATGAATGTATGGTGGCTCCAGAGTATAAGATGTTTACTTTTGTTCTCTCATTTATCTCAGATAGACTACACATCATTACCTTACTTTCAGCCTTGAAGTCATTTCAGTGATGTTTGAGCTTGAGATTGTGAATGACCATTTCATCGTCTTTTTTTAAATGTGCTGTTTTTCACTGTTATTGCTGGCTCTCCTTTCATGGGCTTGTGTGTGTGCTTTTGTCTCCATTCATGCTTCACTCCAGACTTTGACTGTAATGACGTAGAAGGTAAACTCCAAAATATCCTCCACACCTGAAAATTTCCCCAACAAAACCTCAGTGTGCTAACCCCCACACCCACAATGAAAGCAATTAGTTCTTGGCCCTGTTTGAATCCACTTGAGAAATGTGTACACTCCCACAACAAATCTTTGATCACTGCAAGGAGAGCTTGCAAATTCAAACAGGTCCCATGGGCTTTTGGATGTTGGTGTGCATACATATGATGTGTTTTTCCCCCTTTCAGAGAGTGCTTCCTTCCTGCATACACAATAGATTTTCTGCCTGCCCTTACCTTTTATCACCTGTCCACAGACACCCAATTCTATCTAGATTGACCCTGCACCCCACGTCCTGCCTCTTCACATGCATCACCTTGGATCAGACCCACATTAACTTAATGGAAACAGTTCCCTCATGTCCTTAGAAAGTCCAGGAAGAATCAGATCACGCTCATACTGAGACCTCTTATGTTCCTTTTAAATCTACAGAGGGACAGGAAGTACAGCTTAAGGGTCAATTAGAAATTTCTGTTTAGGCTTTGGGCTAAATATACATAATCACTTACTTCCTGCCTCTTTGTATTTACAAAAGAAGATATAAGGATGTCTCCTTCACTGAGTTTTGTAAAAAACTATATATATATAAATATAATATATATATATATATATATATATATATATATATATATATATATATATATATATATATATATATATATATATATATATATATATATATATATATATATATATATATATATAAATTTATAGCCTGGTTGAATAATTGCCATATAGCATATCCACAGCTTTTTAAGTCACTGATGGAAATTGATGGCTGGATATTTTTCATTTCTTCTTTACAGTAGCAAATTTTGGTAGACAAAAATCAAATATGTCAAGTAAGGATTCATACCTTACAAAAAATGTTTTGCTGTTTTATCAGTCAATAAAATATTTTTTAAATCTCCTGGAGAGAGTGGCAACCTAGTGGTTAGGGAATCAGGCTTGGAATCCTAAGGTTGTGAAAACTCCCCAATTGCTTGCTGGGCGCTGCACAGTGGCATCCCACTGCTCCCCAAGGGGATGCATTGAATGCAAAGAGTTAATTTCTCCATTTTGAGATTTATTTATAGAGATCTTCAAGAAATAATTTTGGTTCTTTAGATGTTATGTTCACTTTTGTTACCTTTTGGATGAGTCATCGATGAGCTTTTGGAGAAATTGTGGGAAACGGGCCCCTCCTGGAAATGTTCACCACTGCTCAATTTCTTCTCAATTTTTGAATAATGACCCTCATTGCAATTCAGTGCATTACAAGAGCTTTAGAGAGTGCTATCCTTACTGATGGATTTCAGTTATTTTGAACCTCATTTGATAATGATTTTATTTTTAAATCAGGGCCTCAAATAAAAAAAAAAAAATTCAGACCTTTAAATGTTGTTTGGAAAGTATAAAAGAGGCCTCTCAATTTTACACCTCAGACTGTAATCACACCTTGATGTCTCCTGTGATTTAAACGCTTTAAAAAGATTTGCTTAATCACAGTTAACCCATGATTTAACAAATGGGGGGCTACTTTTCCACAATGGGCGATGTTAAACTTATTTCCTTTAATTAGATAAAATTATTTGACCTATTTTGTCTTCAATTGGACTTTTTCTGTTTTGGTTTTATTTGAAACATTTAAGTTTGACAAAAAAACGAAGGTTAGTTTGTACTTGCTCACTTATTGTTGAGTAAAATAACTGGCTCTATTACAGCATTTTTCCTCCTTCGAGTAAGTCTATAGTATAATACTTTCTCTGATGACAGTAATTTTAAAAATGTATTGATAGGTTGAGTCCACCCTCCGAGGCACACAGTGCTTATTACTAATCTCCATCTTTCTTGTGTTCTGTATAACTGCTTTAATCACCAGCTTCACTGAAAGAGCATGTCTACGATGAGATCAGACTAGGTAAATCTGACTAAATTATGTTGCTGTTGGTGGATTTGAATTTAAGTGCTATTTACTCTAAGTTGTGAATTTGTTGTCATAAATAAACATCCAAAACATTCTTTGAATACTCTTATTGTCACTTATGTTTCAGAAACACAGGGTATTCCTTTCTAAAGCAAAGACCCAAATATTGATTAATTGAGTAATTTATTATTCTGTTTATTGAATTATATTTTGAAAGAGTAGTATCAAACTACTACTTTATATTTTCTGGAGTATTATTAGCAGTGTTAATGTGATGAAGATTGCTCACTCTGGGAAAGTCTGAGCTCTATTTATCAATTTCTTTTACATTTCCAGCTGTCTTTTTAAGCTGACTATCTTCGTTAAATATGTTTTATGATCTGAATTTTATTTGGCACAATATGAACTTCTTTATCCCTTTTAATACCAAATAAATTGGAGTCCAGGTTTTCATATTTGCAATCTTTATCCATTGATTTGAATGCTTTCTCATTTTTCTTTAAACCAAGTTATATATACAGCCTCATTAGAATAATTTATTTGTTGTTCGAAAAATACTTATTGTTTGGTTTGAGTAGAGAATATTGTTTGCTTTTAAAAATTGTAGTAATTCTGAAGCTGATGGCAGCGGCTCTGTTATATGCATCTTTTTTGCATTTTATATTTATTATTTTGTCTTTTTTCCTATATTTACTTTTAGCAACAAGTGGTTCCTTGGACTCCAATGGTAACTAGAGTAGCCCAGTGCTTGTTTTAGATTATTTCAAGCTCAAACAAACCGGACTTAAATTGTTGGGCGGAGACTGTTTTTTTTCACAATCCACACTGGATGTGTGTAGGACCTGTTCGTGCATCTGACAACAGCAGAGAAAACTGCCACTTAGCCTTTCCTTTGTTTCTAGAGATGTGAATCTGCTTTACTCTTCCTCTGTTTGGTGAATCTGGTCTTGCCTTGGTTATTTGCCAATGACGGCAACACAAACAGATCATAGGTTCTGTGTGAACCCGGGGCATTAAAACACAATAATGGTGGCAGCCTAATTGTATCATGTGTGTTGGGCTACCAACATTTTACATAGCACTAGAAATATGTTGCATTAAATCCCATTAGAATCTTACACCTGATCCTCTTTTTCCAAACTTTAACATTTAGGATAATAATGATCATAATGGTTATTATGATCATCATTAATTATACATTGTATCAGTAGTTCTTATTCTGTAATATGTTGGTTTGCTCTTTGCAAGTTTTCATTACCGTATTTTCACGACCATAAGGCGCACCGTACTAAAAGGCGCAGTCTCAGTTATGTGTCCCATTTCTGTATTTAACACACACATAAGGCGCACCGGACTATAGGGCGCATTTTTTATATACAGGTACATGTCCTCTACTACCTTTAAATAGCTCTACTGCGTATTTTAAAAATACAGCGGGCCCAAAACTGAGTATGACTGTGCTTTATTCATGTATTTATTACAAATTAATCAAACCTGCGTGCTGGCCATGAGACAGACACATCGCAGATGACACAGCGCTGTGATTACTCCTAAATTAACTTAAAATCCTGAAACCTGCCGACGGAATATGTTCGCTTTTATTGCCGGTATCCTGGTGCCTGCACTGTAAATTATTTAGATGAAAAACACCTGCCAGCCGCCGCGGTGAGGCTGCTGTTGAAGGGATTTACTGTCGGTGTACCGCTGGTATGTGGGGGTCTGAGCGCCTCCGACAGAAATAGATAATCTGGATGAACTGACTGCAATTAAGTTTTCAGGTGGCCTTTCTCACTTAAAAACATATTAAAACTACTTTATTCCCCCTGATCACAGCAAATATAGCTGCAAGATTTAGATTATTTAGATGAAAAAACACTTGCCAGCCACCGCGGTGAAGAGGAGGAGACCCGGCCCAGAGGCTGCTGTTGAATTAAGTTTTCAGGTAGAAAAATAGAGCGGGAGCAAAACTGAGTATGTTTGTGCTTTATTCATGTATTTATTACAAAGTATTAATCAAACCCATCAAAGTCATCATCCTCTGTTTCTGAATTAAACAGCTGCGCTAAATCAGACATGCCAATTTCCCATTCTTCGCTGTCAGTCACTTTCCGTGCAGCGCGGCTCCTCAGAAATAATGCCGGCTTTTGCGAAAGCTTGAACAATAGAGCCAGCAGACACGTTAGTCCAAGCATCTACAATCCATCCTCAAACGGTGGCGTAACTTGCCCGGCGCTGCCTTCCACTTATCCTGAAACTGTGCTCTCCGTCTGTCCTCCATCGCTCCCACGCCGCTCGCAGCCTTACTTTGAACGGCCGCTTTCACACCGATGTCGAGCGGTTGAAGTTCCTTTGTCAGACCTCCCGGGATAACGGCGAGCACAGCGTTCATTTGATTCATCTTTTTTTTCCACATCGGCTGTGAGATGGGCACGCAGCGATGGTGATGCGTGGAAAAAAGCACCTGGTCTCCTCACATACACCTGCCTTTCATCATCTCCCCAGCCCGTTTCATTTGCGTTAATATCATATGTCATCAGAGCGCTGTGTCTGTCTCGCTGTCAGCTCCCAGATCAGCTTCTCTGATTGGTTGATGCGGCG